CAAATGTAAAATCATTTGAAGTTTTTCTTCCAAGCAATTTAAATGGAAAAAAACTTTAAAAAGAAAAAAATGGTAAACAAACCTACAGGAGAAAAGGAAAAATTTTATAGAACTGTGTCAGCCGTATTTTAAGTTACATAAAAGAATAACCTTGGATTCTACTTTATGTACATTTCATTGCTTCTCGGCCTTTTGGCTAAGATCAAGTGTAGTATCTGTTCTTACCAGTTTAATACTTTATATACATTTCATAAGGTGGGGATAAGAAGTATTTCCTGGTGTTCTGGCAAAACAGAAGCGTGGTCACTGTTTCAGGATTTCCCGCTGATTACACCAAGAAAGTAACAGAACTTGACTTTCTACTAAGATCTGATTGCAAAACTCTCTGCCACATTATGATGCCTCCTGCTCTCTTAATTTATCTGAATGACAATATCCATAATGTCTATGGAAAATGAGGTTCTAATAAAAAATAATGAATACATTCTGAACAAATTCTAGATTCCCATTGTATTGGCCAGAATGTGCCAGAGTAGGCTGCAGAAACAAACAAACCTAAAAGTTTGCACATTCCTGCTTGCTGGGCTTTCCTCCAAGCAGTGAGTCAGAATCTCTATATTCAGAGGCTTCACTCTGCTCTAGGCTTCCCAAGAGTCCTCGGAAGTCTGTCAGCCAACAGGAAAAAGAGGAAGGAGAAAAGGGCAGAGGAAGAAAGGGGGAGGAGGGAGCGGTGGGGGGACTGATTTAGAGACATTTGGGGAGCGGATTATGAATTTAGTCCTGTAAGAACCTGTATGACCCCTACCCTCATTTCAATAGCCTCACTTCTAGGAGTCTAAGAAATTAGCCTAGCTGTGGACCCAGGAAACAATGAAAAATACCACCCAGTATAGTGGCACACATCTATAATTCCAGCCACTTGCAAAGCTGTGGCAGAGGGATCTCAAAACCAGCCTAGTCTACACAGCAAGACCCTGTATCAAAATAACAGAGTGAACCAGGCATGGTGGTGCACTCCTATCATCCCAGTACTCTAGGGGGCTAAGGCAAAAGACCCATAAACTAAAGCCCAGCCTGGGTAATGTAGTAGTGACTTAGCAAGATTTTGTCTCAAAATGAAAAATTTAAATGGTTCAAGAGCTAGTTTTTCAAACAAGTCTTAACTCAAAACTTAATTTTTTTCCACTTTCTAATTTTCCTCATTGTACCTAATATTCCTTTAAAATCCCTTTATTTTCTTTTGGTATGTCCCACACCTTACCAAACATTTTCAGTTATTAGGTTTGTCCACTCAAGTTTGTGCATGCAGTGGTGCACGCCTATAACCCCAGCACTTGGGAGGCTGAGGCAGAAGGATCACCATGAGTTCGAGGCCAGCCTGAGTTACATAGTAAGTTCAAGACCAGTCTGAACCACATAGCGAGACCCTGTCTCACAAAACAATAAACAAACGACAAGGAAAAAGTTCACTCATTCAAACATTTTAATCTCAAATTCAATATCCATTACACATGCTCCCCGCTCTCCAGCACAGACCTCACTTGTGCTTCTGGAGATAGCAGTGGCACAGGAGGGTTGTCCTCTCTTTTCTCCTCCCATTCCAATACCTGCAAAGCAGTCAAGAGACTTTATCTGTCTCTCAGACACCTTTCCCACTCCCTTCTTTTGAGATACAGACCCTCTCCTTTTGAGGTTAGGAGAAAGAGACTGGGGTAAGGGTGCTTACTACTCTGAATCCTCTGTCTGTGGTGTCTACCTGTTCAACCCCAGGTGTCTGGTGGAGACCTGTAATGCACCAGATAGTCACACATTCTTGGAATACCCTACACTGGTCTGGAGCCCTCTCCCCTGTTGTCTTCTACACAACGCAGGGGATATCAATCAAGATATAAAGCCAGTCTCCTCTTTTAGCCCCCTGTAACTTCCATGAGGGACCCTTTTGGTGTCCCTCTCAGCAAAAGGTGCTAGACACTCCCTTCTCTTCCCTCCTCAGGTTTCCTAAGTAAGCTGAGAAGCACGGTGATGTGGCCAGAGAACTGAGCAGTGGAGTCACCTTTTTCTAAACTTTGCTTCTCTTAGTCTTGTCAAGGGCAAGATTCAGTATCTCTTAATCTTTGGCTTGGGGCTTTAGTTGAGAACTACAGAAAAAAGAAGTCTAATTATTTATAAATAGGTATAAGATTAAAATACATACATATGTGTGCATGTGTATTATATATGCACATATATATTTATTATTAAAACGTGATTTGGTTCACACTACACATTCTTCACTTAGATCTTCACCCAGTTTTACAATACATCTTGTAGATCTTCCATGTTAACACATTTAGATACACCAAGGTATTTCCTGGATACTGAAAAACAGGAGTGACTAGATGTACATCAGAGAAAAATGACCAACATAAAAAGCTTGGGTCTTGGGACTGGGGATTTAACTCAGCGGCAAAAGTGCCTGCCTGGCAAGCGCAAGGTCGTGAGTTCGGTTCCCAGTACCGGAGAAACCAAAAAAAAAAAAAAAAGCTTGGGTCTTAACCTCAACACTTTAAAATAAAAATCATACCCACCAAATTTTGCAATTATTAACATTTACAACAGTATCAGCTAACATTTATTGAATATTTGTCTGGATGATTAACATTATGTTTTTTAGTACTGGAAATTGAACCTGGGGCTTTCCCATTGAGCTGCATCCCCAGCCCCTTTTTTATTTTTAATTTTGAGACAAGGTCTCACTAAGTTGTCCAGGTTGGGCTCAAACTTGCAGTCCTCCTGCCTTGGCCTACCAGAGTGCTGGTATTACAGCAACCGGGCTGACATGAATCATTTTATGCAATATTCATAGTGATCTGTAAAGTATATGTTATGGCTATTCCCATTTTACAGATGAGGCGTGTGAGGGTTAGAATGGTTAACTGACCCAACATCACCAGAGCTAGCAAAATGGTGGGTTCAGGATTTAAATTTAGGACTGTCTGGCTGAAGTATGTTCTTAATCAATTTGTCTTTCTGTTCATCTTTACAATGAATGCTGTATTGAATTCATTGGCTTTCCTCCAGTTTTATTTTATATATGAATTATTCAACCTGAATACTCATGTAAATCATTTTTATTTAGGCGTCATTTGTGCCAAGAGTGTTTAAATTCCAGTCCACATGGACTCTTATACACATATTTTATTTACTCTGATACTTATGAATGTTACATTAGTGTTTATCCAAGACTGGCATTATGTATTGGGGAGTATATAGTCCATAGTATGACTTGAAATGTAAGTGGACGTATGTCTTTCTAAATTGTCAAACTGTTTGAGGTCCTGCAATTGGAGAGTCATTCCTTGGAGCACTGACTGAAGTAAAAGCAGGAGAATGATCTAGCAGTACTCAAAGAAATAGGACTAAATAAAGCAATTCAATATAAACAAGTTATTCAACCAAATTTCAAAAGAGTGGGAAGTACCTATGAAACACAAGAAAAAGGTTTGGAGGAAAGACTCATGCCTGTAGAGAGTATAAAATGGAGACAATTGGAGATGGAGATTCATTCACTTTTGCCTTCAAGAACCTGGACACATAAAATGGTATATTGGCCTTAAAGAAGCCTCCTTGTCAAAAGTGGAACTCCAGCAATGCCAGGATGAAATAAATTTGCAGAGACAGGGATGAGAATTTCAGGACAACCAGTGGGGAAGAGTAGGATGCGTGTAGATGCACAAGGGCCAGGCCAAGTGTGACAGCCCCTGTTCTCCAGAGACAGCCCCAAGTCCCCCTGGGTTCAAAGTCAGGTTGCAACCTGAAAGATCAGGCTGTTGACTGGGTGTGATGAGAGTGTAAATGTGACAAGTGCTGTCAGTCACACTACACAGCCAGGGAAAGATTTGGGAAGTCAGTCAGTCAGATGTGAGACAAGACTAAGTTGGCAGAGGTAAGGCATCCAGGTATAAAATTTGTCTTATTTTCGTTTACACTATTTGATTTTTAAAATTTATGTCCCTTCCTGACTCCTTTCTAAAAGTATTAAGTTTGGCCTTCAATGAGTCACACATATAAAAGAACCATCTCTAATAAGAGATTAGGCGACAGATAACGAGGTTAAGGGTTTAGACTAAGGATGATACTGGAACCCTCCAAATTGAGTCCCAGAACAGCTATTCTTAAATTCATGAGGACCAAACAGTAAACATGACCTAAACACTTGTCGTGCTTGATCTCATTGAATTTTCCAGTTCACTCATGATTAATTCATATATTATTGTCTCCATTAATATTTTCTAGATAATGAGGAAACTAAAACGTGGCGTAGGTAACTTGTTCAGTCTTATAGTCAGGCAGGGAAAAGCCAGATTTGAACCTAGCTTGACTGTGGATCTAGGCTTGTAATCATACAAGATACCAACTCTGGAGGCAGAAGGTATCAGGAATCAAATTTTTAAAAAATGTTGGCGTTATAGGAAAGACGATTTGGGTGCCTTGTCGAGCAGATGAAGATGCTCTTTTATTCTGATCCACCTGGTTAGAAGGGTTTACCAGCTTGCAAGGAATCCCAGGATTCAAACATTTATTCCCTGAAGTTGGGTAAGAAAAGAGTAAGGCAGGAAATCCTGGCTGCGGTGCAAGTTCACAACAGAAGAAAATACGATTTCTCCTATTTGTGTTCAGGGTCAAGACGGATTCTGTACCGAAAATACAAGGAAAATTTAGGTGGCAGTAACCTTGAAGGTTAGGAAGAGAAAAAGGGTGTAGAATGACTTACACAGTTTCTCCCTTGCAGAATGGTAAACCCTTATAAATACATGAACAAGTGTACCCTAATAAAAGAGAACATCTCCATCTGCTCCACAAGGCACCAAATGGTCCTTCCTGTAAGGGGCCAACATTTTTTCTCTCGGAACATGTGGCCTCGCGCCACCTCTCCCCGCGGACTGTGGCGCGGCTCTAGGACCCGGGGCAGTAGGAAGGAGGCGGCGTCTGGGCAGGGATACACCGCGTGCCTCTGACGTCGTCAGCGCGCGCCGGCCGGTGGGAACGCCGAGGAACGTGGAGGAGCGCTTTTCTCGGCTGGCTCCGCTCTCACGCGCCATGGCGGCCCCGGTGCAGCAGCCTCCTCAGCCTGGGGGTGGAAAGCGCAAAGGCAAGGCTCAGTACGTGCAGGCCAAGCGGGCTCGGCGCAGTGATGTGGTCGGACCGCGGCAGCTGGAACCTGGGCTGCAGGGGATCCTCATCACCTGCAATATGAACGAACGCAAATGCGTGGAGGAGGCCTACAGCCTGCTCAACGAATACGGCGATGATTTGTACGGGCCCGAAAAGGTACTGGTGTCGGTGTAGGGGAGCCGGCCTCAGGGCCTTCAGCGGCAGGGGCGCGGAAGCGCAACTGGTTTCTGCGCATGCGCCTGACGGGGGCGTAGCCTCGGCTACCTTCACCCACCCCCCAGCGTTGTTTTGTGCTTACTCGGGTGGACGTGCCTGATTTCCCTTGAAGTACTGTCCTTAATTAATCACGGTGGCTCTCATTTATTGATGCTTCTTGTGGGCCAGGAGATGTGCTTCTCGTGACGACCTTGTGAAGTTGGCTGTAGTAAGAATGTGTTTACCCTAAGCCATAATATCTCTTAATCATTTCCTAATTTCAAATAAAAGTACATTTTAAAAAGCAAAAGCTTTTGTGCCGGGCATGGTGGCGCACGCCTGTAATCCCCCCACTGGGGAGGCAGAGGCAGGAGGATTGCTGAGTTCGGGGGCAGCCTGGGTGTAAAGTGAGTTCAAGACCAGCCCGAACTGCATACTGAAACCCTGTTTCAAAATACACACACACACACACACACACACACACACACACACACAGAGTTAAAACTTTTGTACTGTTACTATCTAAAATCTCATTGTCCTGTCGTGGTTTAGAAATCGTTCTGTTACTGGTTTAGAATCCCAGCTGGTGCACTCATGTAGGCTTTGAGGAATTAAGTGAAAGAGTTCAGCAGGTCCCATCTTTTACTGGCTCTTGGACTTGGGCATCAGCAAGTTAATTCTGCTGAGATTTTTAAAGAAATTACATAATATAGAATATAGTAAAGGCTCCTTAAATGTGCACAGTTGTTAGCTCTTGATTGGAAATGCCATTTGTAGGTCAGATGGTATCTGGGCAACAGATGGTATCCCCTCTGCACTGGTACCTTAAGCAGGTTCTGTTTTTTTCTTTTGTAACTTTATATTTTTCATTAGTGCATATGTGTCATACATATTGATCACATTCATCATAGGGAATTTCTGCCTGTACATAATACATCTCATTCCCCTCCCTTTAACCCTTTTTACCCTCCCCATTTACAAAAACTTTGTTTCCATTTTTTTCCTTCTGTTCTCCCCACCTTTTCCTCCTCATTTTTACATGTTCTTTCTACTTTCCAGTATCTGTCCTCCATATGTTCCTTTTTAACCCTTTGGGTTCTCATACAATGGAAACAACGTGATATTCAAATTTCTCTGTCCAGTTTATTTCACTTAAGATTATGGTCTCAAGGTGTACCCATTTCCTACAAATGACTCGAGTTTATCCTTCTTTATGGCAGAGTAGTACTCCATTGTATATACAGTACCACATTTTCTTTATCCATTCACCTGTTAATGGATATATGGGCTGTTTCCAAAATTTAGCTATTATAAATTGTGCTGCTATAAGCATGGGTATACATATATATATATGTCACTGTATTATCACTTTGAGCAAGTTCTTGAACTTCATGTCCTGTTCAGTAGGGCAGGAGTAAGGATTTTTAATTCTGTTAAGTACTTGGTTCATTTCACAAAAGGACAGTGTCATGTGAGGCACAAAGACATCTTACTGGTATTGTTGGAGCGTGCCCTGACTTTTATCTAGGGAGCACATTCCCTCTGTGCTTCCCTGCCCTATCAAGATGCTTCTGAAAACATTTTCAAATGTGTGTACCACAGCCTGAGGAAACTACTTCCTCCACATTTTGGAGGGGGTGTTGTCTCAGTCTCTTAATAAAAAACTTGTTAACATTGAGCCAACTGCCACTGGGGGTTTCACATAAGTAGTTAATTATAGTGTTTCAACAGGAGCTGTTGTGTCATTTCTGCTTATTGGTTTTATATAAACAGTTTACAGAGAAGGATCAGCAGCTTTCTGGAAGTGAGGGAGAAGATGATGTGGAGGCTGCTTTGAAGAAGGAAGTTGGAGACATAAAGGCTTCTACAGAGAAGAGGCTAAGAAGATTCCAGTCAGTAGAGAGTGGAGCAAATAATGTAGTCTTCATCAGGACACTTGGGATAGGTGTGTGACTAATAGCCCTTAAGATAATTGGCTGATAATTGACATCTCCTGTCTCAGAGAACATTGCCTACAGAATGGCTGCATGGCTCTGTTAATCACTGGATCGCAGCCACGGTGGGCTCATGTAGGTGTGGAATGGTGGTGGTGCACACAGCGCTGGCTCGGGAGTAGAATCTGGCTTTGTGCTTTCTTTGTAACCTTAAGCAGAAAGAGAGTGCATGCTCTATTAGAGAGGAGCAGCTGCTACTCTGCTGCAGCCAGTAGTTGCCATTGGGAATATAGAACGAGATCTTTCAATTTCCAAGAAGTTGGAAATCAGGAGATATTCTCGCATTTTAAAGAGTAGTCATCTGCGTTATAAATGCTGTAAAAAGTAAGTTTCCCTGAACTGATTTATGTGCAGGCAGAATGAAGCCTGAACGTCACTACTTTATAATATGGTTCTAGGATTCTTCCCAGTCTGAGATTTAGACTACTGTATTCCTGGATTCATTAAATCTGTTAAATGAGGGGCTGGGGATTTAGCTCAGCGGCAGAAGCGCCTGCCTGGCAAGCGCAAGGTCGTAAGTTCGGTTCCCGGTACCGGAGAAAAACCAAAAAAAAAAAAAATTAAATCTTTTAAATGATTTGCAGGTTGTCTTTTTGTAAAAAAAGTGTGTGTTATTTGTTACTCTTAATAATTGTTATTGCTAAAGGAAAACAACAGCAAGGATAAATCAGGACATCACAAAAACAGTAACTCCAGCGTCTGTGTGAACTGAACAATTATATTTAGCAAAAGCAGTGATAATGATGAATGTGAAAATACTAGCTGCAAAGTAAACACTGAAAAAATTAGTTGGGAAAACTTGTTCTGTGCTTTTTTTTTTTCCTTTCAGAACCTGAGAAATTGGTGTATCATATTCTCCAGGATGTTTACAAAACTAAGAAAAGGAAGACTCGAGTTATTTTACGAATGTTACCCATCTCAGGCACGTGCAAAGCTTTCTTAGAAGATATGAAAAAATATGCAGAAACTTTTTTGGAACCCTGGTTTAAAGCACCAAACAAGGGAACATTTCAGATTGTTTACAAGTCTCGGAATAACAGTCACGTGAATAGAGAAGAAGTTATCAAAGAATTGGCAGGTATGTTTCCCTTAGTGACTTTACCTAAGTGTGCCATAGTAAACACTTGTGTTTAGGGATTTCTTTTTTAAGATTTAGAGTTTACACTTTGTAGTAAAGAAGTATATTAAAATACCAAACCTAACTGGTTTTAACGTGGTAGATAAGAGATTTTCTGGTAAATTTCTTTCAGGCTTTGGGGAAAAAAGTACAGTCATCCTTCAGTACCTATGAGAGATTAGTTACACGATCCCTTGACTACACCAGCATCTTTGGTACTCAGGTTCCTTCCGTTAAGTGGTGTAGTGTTTGCATGTAACCTGTGCATGTCTTTCTTATATACTTTAAGTCATCACCAGGTTACACAGAATACCTAATGCACCAAATAGTTGTTATACCATATAGTTCAGGGAATAATAACAAGAAAACAATCTGTATATATTTAGTACAGACACAACTTTTTTCCCAAATATTTTGATCCAAGGTGGGTTGAATCTGTGTATGTGGGCTCTGTGGATTTGGATGGCCAACTGTATTCTTAAATGTCTCAGAATTTTATTTGTATGTATTTATTGAAAGGATTCTGGGAATTTTGAAGCCCACAAAGAAGAATGAACCAGTATATATTCTGTTTTAACAAATCCCAAAAAGAAAGAGATGAAAATTTTGTGTATCCGTCAAGCTTACTGGTATCCTCAGCCTAAATGTTTCCCTGTTTTGCTACAGGAATTGTGGGCAGTCTGAATTCAGAAAATAAAGTGGATCTCACCAATCCACAATACACAGTGGTAGTTGAAATCATCAAAGCTGTCTGTTGCCTTAGTGTTGTGAAAGATTACATGTTATTCAGAAAATACAATCTTCAGGAGGTGGTGAAGACTGCTAAAGACCCATCACAGCTTCCCCCAAAGCTGAGAAATGGGAAAGAAGCAAAAGTGGAAACTAAAGACAAATTAAATCAAAATGACCCAAAGGAAGGGGAGAATAATCAGCTGGTGGTGCCACAGAACAAGGAGGAACTGGGAGAGACAAAACCAAGACCTGAGACTCAGGTGGAGAGGGAGGAAGGCGCTGAACCCGAACTACCCAGTCGAACCCAGGAAGGGTCCAGATCAAATGAAAATGACCTCTCATAGGAGGCTTTTTGTGTCGGAGGTGGGTTTCTCAACCCAAGTTTTGTGAGTGGTACTGGGGTTCCTTACGTGACTTAAATACCTTGACTTTTGTATGCTGCACAGTGCTGATCTCACAGCAGTGAGCAGTGATCCCTCAGCCCTGTTAATGGTTTCCACAGAGCTCTTTCGGCCCTGATGGCAGTGTGTGGGCCCGCGTGTTGTCACCTGGGCTGGGGGTGGTCAGAGGACGATGTTGCTTCTCCCTCCTTCTTCAGCCTCCACTCTGTGTGCCAGCTGACTGACGGGAGGGAATGAGCTCTGAGAAGTAAGAAATCAGAGGGAAGTTTGCATTCTAAGAAGGAATGGAATTTTAAGTGCCACAGCTGAGCTGTCCCCTGCCACTTCATTGTAAACACTGCAAAGTTGTGGATTAGGTAGGCCGAAAGTGAATTGTTTCATGATGGTTTTCTTGTTTAGTTGTGTCTGTTTATGTATTTCATTAATGTTTGTTACGAACAAATGTGATAGCCATTGCTGCAAGTTTTGAAGTCAAGGTAGGAGATAGAAGACCTTTTTACGCATAGACCTATGGACATTTTTGGCAAGGTTTGTGATGAAGAATTACAATCTTTTGAGTTACTCCTTATACAGTACTAATACAGCAAGAAGTATGAAGCAATTCTGTCTTTATAATAAAAGCTGCCTCTCACAGGTTTTACATGCACTCATAATCAGAGTTGTTCTGTTTTCATTGTGCTTTGTCTGTAGCTTTTAACTAAATCAGTTGTTTGACAAGAATGTTGATTATTTTAAATAGCTTTTTTAATATTAAAGCTTTTGTTTAAAAAAATCACAGTAGGCAGAATGACTTAGGAAGCAAATTATTTGGTAGCAGATCTTATCCCAGCAAAGAAAAGTATACATAGTTGATGGACATTTAATACCAACATTAAAATGCTGAGAAAAGTACAAGAAATTGAAATCACTTTACTGTCCGTTTAATAAGTTGATTTGCTAATAATGTCACATGCTAAAAAAAAGTTTATGTAACTAGGAAACAAGCCTTTTTATCTTGGTTAACGTATCAAGAGATTTCACAAATATTTGTCGTTCTGTAACACTCATAAGATTTATAAATGGTGGTGAAATTAAAAAAATATCTTCTGATGTGATGAGTCTCATAAAACCAAGATCAGTATGTATTTATTGTGTCTTCATACCTGAAAACAAAATGTCTATCAGTTGTACTCCCAATATACCATTAATGGTTATGATATGATAGTTTTGCCACATTTAAAAAGAAAAAAGAAATCCTGGTGTTGACATTATAGTACACAGCCTTTTTTTTTTTCATAGCAATACTGATACCAAAAACTTGGAGATGAAATGAAGAAAGTTTAAAAAAATGCTACAGAAGTGGTTAACTTTAGTAAAGACCGTTTATGCCACATTGTTTAAAAAATATTCCTAAATTAAAATCTGGGCAAAGAGCAATAAGCTTCCTGCTTCATACAGAAACCTAGGGGCTGGGGATATAGCTCAGTGGCATAAGCTCCTGCCTGGTGAGTGCAAGTTCCTGAGTTCGATCCCCAGTACTGCCAAAAAAAAAAAAAGAAAGAAAGAAACCTAGTGGTTTGTCAGAGGAAGTGTTCTCAGAATAGAAACATGAATTGTTAGGATAATTACAAGAAAGTGGGTCTTGCTGAGTGCTTTGAAAGTGAAGAATGAGGGCTGGGGATTTAGCTCAGCGGCACAGCACCTGCCTGGCAAGCGCAACGTTGTGAGTTCTACTCCCAGTACTGGAAAAAAACCAAAAAAATAAAAGTGAAGAATGGCTGTGGAAGCACATTTCCAGCTTGTATAAATGAACAAGTTTCTGCAAGATTCTAGAGAAAAAGGTCTTTTTTCTAAAAGTGATAAGAATTTTAGAAGGAAACATTCTGAAAAAGTCATTTTAAGGGTTGATGGTAGAAATCTCAAAATGTTTATTCAGTAACTTCCACATCAGAATGAAGAATATAGCCAGAGGGTCGCTGTGAGTTCAAGGCTAGCCTGAACTACCTGGCAACACCGTGTCTCAAAGAACCAAAAAGAAAAAAAAGAGAGAATGAAGAATTCAAAAGTCCAGGCTTTTGGCTACCTGGAAGGCTACCTGGAAGAAATGCAAAGCCAAATTAAGTATAATTTCCTCTTCCTCTCTGAAAGAAAACTTCACTCCAGTCTGACAATTTTGGATTTCTCTGCAATTTCAACTTACTGTTCAGATGCACTGTAGTGCTCCCTCAGGGGCTCACTGATTGAGAAAGCTGGGAAGTGATAAACTGTCTAGATTGAGAACATTAGGCTGTAAAATTAGTTTTTGAGATGAGTTTATATTTATTTAAATTTTTAAAAGTTAGGAAGCAATATAAATGTTAAGGCTTCCTGTGCAAGTGGCTGTGTCAATTTAATGGCATACATGAACATTTCTACTCTTGGTGAGGGCCTCCGATGGTAAACCAAGCTGGAAGGGTTTGGGAGGAGCAGAGAATACGTAGGGCCTTGGTAATGTACCTAGGACTGGTACTTTCTTGAGTATCTTCAGATACTTAATTCCTTCCGTGGGATGAACTCAGCTTTGCGCATGCTCGGCAGGGCTTGTACTGCTGAACCACGTCCCTCGCTTTTTATCTTTTATTTTGACACTCACTAAATTGCCTAGACTGCTGTGAACTTGTGATCCTTCCGCCTCAGACTCCCAAGTAGCTGGGATTGCAGGTGTGTACTACTGCATCCTCCCCAGAATGTTGACTCTTGATGTTGAAGTCACATCAAAAGGTTGAGTATTAGTATCATTTGGGAGGATAGGAAGGATCTTGGTGCCTTCTTCAGACATGCTCTAGGACAGATATTTTATTTTGATAGTGCAAGACAAAGGGACTCTGGGAATAAATTTGCTGTATCTGAATTTCTTTTGCTTTGTGGAGCTGCTACTCTACAGAAAGATTTTGATTTTATTCTTTTTACGTGGCATTTGTATTTATTTGTATGTGGTAAAATCAGTGTGACACAAGCTATTGTTCCCAACATAAATACTATGCTTTGTTGGAATCTGCATTTACTCATTAAAAGATTTGCTTTTGGGTGTATCAGTTGTTTCTTTTCACTAACATTTGAACGTATTATTTATAACTAGGGTGGATATTATGTATCTTTTGTTCTTACAGTGTTTTAATTAAAATTATGGTAGTTAAACATTTTGTGTTATGATTTATGAACTTGTTTTGCTCTAAAGAGAAAAGAGTTAAACTTCATGTTTTAAAATGCTTTTCTCTAAGGTTAAACATGATTTTCAAGTGGTATTTTACTTGTGTTTTGCTTTTGGTACAGCTAGATGCTCAGCTTGTTTTTTATAGCTCCTGATATTTTCAGAAAAATCAAAATAAAGTTGTTCCCTAAAGATGGATGTTATGTACTTTTTCTTTCTGCCTTTAGTAGGTCTCTTGCTTTATGGTATATGTATCATTAAAAATGTTTACATGTCAGGTGGGGTGTGGTGGCGCACACCTGTAATCCTAGCACTCGGAGCCTGAGGCAGGAGGATCACTTCGAGTTTGAGGCCAGCTTGCAATACATAGTGAGTCCAGGCTAGCCTGAATTACATAGTCAGACTCTTGTCTCAAAAAAAAAGCAACAAAAAACAGTATATATGTCAAATTATGTATCAAAGGAAGTCATATATGTGATCCTAAAAGGTGAAGCTATAAAAATGTGTTAATTGCTCTTGAATAATTAATATTCTCAAAAAAAACCCAGTATACATGTCAAATTATGTATCAAAGGAAGTCATATATGTTATCGTAAAAGGTAAAGCTATAAAAATATGTTAATTGCTCTTGAATAATTAATATTCCCAAATAATCCAAAGTTTCTGATATTTTACAGGATTTGCTCCAAAACAAGGAAGAATACAATAGTTAATTTCATTACGTTCACTCACTAGCCTTTGAGTTATAATATTTATACTCATCTTAAACTCCCTTAAAGTATTGAGAGGTCATAAAAATGTTGAGCAGAAGAAATTCTGTCTTAAACATTTCTTTTAGAATATTGCTTATCTTTATATGCAGGACAAGACAAATGAAACAGATCCAAAACCTGCCCTTTTTTAAGTAATCATTTTATTCCTGCTATTTTAAACACTAAAAATTATAACCTTTGTTAATATGGTCATTTTAACAATATTTTCAAATATATTAAAGTTAATTATTTTTTGGCCAAGTAGAAAACAAAAGCTCAAGTTTTCAACCAGAAAAAAAAAATAACATTTTAAAAAAGCAGTCACTGAATTATCAAGAAGGAAGTGCTAAAAGAAAGCAACCATGTTACTATTTAATTACTCAGTTTTCTTATCAAGCTACATTCGTCCCCATTCTTGGTCTCTTAAAACGTTGCGTTTAATTTTCCCAGTGATTGTCTTTGGGAGTTCTTGAACAAATTCCACCTAATTGACAAAGAAACATACAGTAAGACACTTCGTTCCATTTTGATATCTGAGTTCTCAATGAAATAGGAAACAACTCTTGTGAAATTCTGAATTTTATATGTGGACATTGTCTTAGCTTATTCATTGAATCTAGTGAGCATAAGAAACTCGGTCAGTTCATATAGTAAGGGTTAATCCATTCTAGCAGTTTTTAATGCTAATTCACTCACATGTTCTGCCAAAAGAAAAGAATCCCTTTACCTCTTTACTTTTCCCTGTCTAGACCTAGGCCTCTACTGCCCTCTGGGGAATGGAGGTTTACACCTAAATTCAAAAAGAAAAAACATTGGCATGGGTCCTTGTAGCTGGGTGTGGTGGTGGACACCTGTAATCCCAGCTCTCTGGGACGCTGAAGCACGAGGATCACAGTTTCAAGCATGAAGAAATGAATGAACAAATAAATGAGGGAGAGTGGGTCTTGCAGATTCTGAAGGAGGCGTTTTAGTGATGATTTGGAGTACATAGAGTTTCCCCTTGCAGTCTGACTTGACCATGAGATCCTGTCTTTGTTGCCCTTGTCAAGCTGACAGTATGTATTTTTAAATGCTCTCAGACCTCATTCCTGAAAATCAAAGGACTACTTATTTCGTTAGTTTAATGGAGAAAAATACCAAAATGATTGAATTAGTTCTTTGGTTGAAATTAGCTACCTTCTGACTGAAATGCTTCCAACTGAAATGGAATTAACTTCTAGAGGATAAGTCACTATTACCCAATAGGATTCCAGAGATAGAAGGAAACTCCAGTATAATCTCTGTGTAGAGAATTGGTTTTAAATCCTCATGTGAAGGTTTCAGGAAAGATCACATATTTTCTCTGGGTAGTATCTGCTTCCTGAGCCATAAATGAGGCCCCTTGACATCTCAAGGCATGTGGTTATTTTTTAATCTATAGGGATATTATATGGCCAAAAATTATTATGTGGACTAAAAATCAGATGCTGTCCCTAAAAATAACGCACTTCATATTTTGCCAACATTCTTTGTCCCTATATGGAATGGGACTGATTCTGTATTCTTATTAGTTACTCACTGTTGCAGAGTTGGTTTTAAAAAGCTCATTTATCAAGCATTTTTAGTGCCCAAATATAAAACATTTCAAAGCAAAATTTTTGGCTAAATGAACTAAAAAGTTATCTTTTGCTACTATAAAGTCAAACTCCAGTAAAACCTACATTAGAACCCAGTTAGCATTTACATGCTGCACAAACCTAATTTATACTTGCCTTTCTTGGATATTTGTAAGGTGCAGTTGATTTTTTCACATGATCTTGAAGCTCAAGAGCCAATTTCTCAGGGTTGGATGATTTGTAGGGTGCAGATAAAACGACAAAAGCTTTTACTACCTGTAGCAGAGAAGTCCATTTGTATTACTATGTTTTGCAGACACATCAGGAGTTAGGAACCACTGCTGAACAGAGGCATTATTTGTTCACAGCAGCTGGAGTTTTGACTACAAGTGCCAGCTCAGGCACTACAAGGACAAACTGAGGTTTGGGGGAGTCTATTTCCAATAAATGGGCTGTGAATGTGAGGAGTACACTGATTCTTTCACAGCTGAGCTCTTTACATATTACACATTTAACATTTCAATCCAGCTGATCCTGTTTAGTACTCAGGCAGTCTTTGACAGATGACCCTGTACACCATCAGATCCATACTGTGTGAGGAAGCATGTGGTAGCAGGAGTGATGGGAGTGCAGGAGAATATGGTTTGAAGGGGGTTTGGGATGGTCTAACAGAGGAAGGATGGTATATTAGGAAGGATTGATCATCTCAAGAGGGACTTTCTTGCTTCCCAGTTTTTCTTTTTCCTTGTAATACTGGTTGAAGCAATTAAATAATTATTGAGGTTAGTAGTCATAGTTTAAATGATTGATTATTCATACAATGATTCTAATTGGTGTTTACTTCTGGTGTTCCATTGAAACCGATAACATGGAGAGAATGAGAATATGGTAGCAGAAGGAAAATATTTTGGAGAACGGAATTACATGGAAAATCAAGGGAGTACAGGAGTTAAGCATATGGGATCCACAGTGTTCCTCAGAGGAGCGTGGGTACGTGAGAGAAAGGCACAGGAGACATGGGAGGGTACTGATATGTACAATTCTGAGATTTTTTTTCTGCTTGCTGAGTCTTCAGGAAAGTTCCATGAGGAAAGTAGATTTCTCCCTTCTTTAGCACAGAGTTTCCCCCTAGAATCAAGACTGTTGTCACTGCCTGAGTAATACTGTCATTGTGTCCTAATTAGGGAGCGTGTGGGACTTATTTGGGAACTTGGCCACAATCTTTTGCATTGTTTCTGTGAGGAAGTGTATTCTGTCAATCCAGGGCAATTGTACAGACAGTGAAATCTGATGCTTAATGCAGTATCTGTTCCTACTTTTTAGAAGCAGTACTCTGAGCTTCCTGTGGAGTGTTACCCTAACTTCTCTATGGTGGGGTTGACGTGAGGAGAGGCTATGATCCAGGTCTGGCCCGTCACCTGTACCATTTCCTGGGTCACTCTGACTAGAGATGTGACTTAAGATGGACAGAGGAGATCCTGGGAGTTCCTCAGAACACTTGGGAAGTCAGGCCTCTGCTTCCCTGGGAGGGCGGTGAAACTGTGTGAGCGTGCAGTTGGTTGCTATCAAGTGGAAAGGACCTGCTCAGATGGGGTCGACAGAGAATAGCAGAGCAAAACAGAGAAACTAAGGGACGCGAGCTTCACATGAGCACTGGGATACAGATGTACCTAAATACCTCTCAGTTACATGAGCCCAACGTTGTAAAAAATAATTTAAGTCTGTTTGAGTTGAGTTTCTGTCCGATACCACCAGCAGAATCCCAGTCCTCTTTGGGACACAACTCATTTGTAAAGTGGATTTCCTGGTCTACATTTGTGCCATGTGTGCCTCATAGTGAAGATTAAATGACCACTGCAGTCTAGATTTAGTCTTTACAGCAGTCAAATAGAACTTGAAAATAGGGAGTTGCTGCTTTGATTAGTGATGTCCACCCACCTCTCCTCGAATTGGATCTGGACTGCTGACAACAGCTGATTCAACAACTGCTGGGTGCTCAATGAGTGCACTCTCCACTTCGAAGGGCCCAATTCGGTACCTGCAGGGAAGGAGAAGCCTGCTCACTTCAAGTAGGAAGTCTCCCTTCCTGCCGAGCTGCTGATTTCTAGGAGTAGCAAATGTACAAACCCAGAGGATATAATGACATCATCAGCTCTGCCAACAAACCAGAAATACCCATCACTGTCCATCAGGCCTCTGTCCCCAGTGACATAAAAGTCTCCTCTTATTGTAGCAGCAGTTTTCTCTGGATTATCCTAGGAATTGAGGATGACATTTGTGAATTAGTTTGGCCAGGATTCGTTTGGTCTGGTTCCCATTCAATGACTAGCATATTACAACATCTTACGTCTAAATGAAGTTTTTGTTATTGTTGTGTTTGTTTGTTTGTTTTTGAGACAGGGTCTTGCTAGGTAGTGCAGGCTGGCCTCAAACTTGTGGCAATCCTCTTGCCTCAGCCTCCTGAGTGCTGGGATTATAGGCATGGACCATCACACTCAGCTGAAGTTAATTTTTTTAATGTTAAGTAGTTCCTAGCCTAAAATCAAAAAGATCTAAAAGAGTATTAAAAAACTAAGCCTCTCTCCTACCTCTAGCATCCTCCATGCCCTTCCTCCTTCTCCCAACCTGTCCTTTCTGAGACCAGCACAGCAACCGGTTTCTTACTTTTGGAATTGAATCATCACAGAATTTAATCTTCATTGTATTAGGTAACTCAATCTTCACAGTATGTTTGGGAACTGGAAGTTATTCTCCCCATTTTACAGTTGATGAAATGGCCCAGGTTTCCATCAGTTGTCCTGGTTTATATATAGCAAGTCATAGTAGGCATGAAATTTGGATCAATATCT